CATTCAATGAAATTAATAATTTTTATAAAAAATATTAACTTTGATATTAGAATAATTTGAAGACATTTCATCATAAGATACTAACATTTAATTTTATATTCTTGTAATAGAAATTTTAAAAAATTTAATGAGCTGAATTTGTAATACATATAATAGCATTATAGTAGAAATTAAAATTTCGTCACAAAACTTAACAAATTGAGAAAAAGTTTTTTCAATAGGTATTGAACGAGCCAAAATGAGCTTTTTGTTTGAATTTCATAACAAAGCTCTATGACCTCTAAAAAGTGGACGAGCGTTACTATTTCACATAGAAAATAACTTTGTCATTAAGGTCCCTAATGGCACAAGTTTAAGCAAATCAAATTAACTTATCTTTAATTGTCCATAAATTTGAAGAATTGGATCAGTAGTTTTAAAAAATGAAGAACAATGTTTGAAACCTCTATTTTATATTATCCAAATCAATCGAGTTTTTTTAACTCAATGAGAAAAATAATAATTTCATACAAAACTTACACTATGATTTAAGATGTTTGTATGACTTGTCCAATTTTGTCCAATCTCACTGAATAAGAAAAATATTTGATTGGATGGTGATTTTTTAAATGTGTGATATATCTGTCTACTTTATCAAAATACTAAAAAATAGATCAAGATTTATGAAAACAAAACAAAATAAGTGTTTTTAAAATTATACTGAATTCTGGTATTTTTTGAATCAGTCTGAATAAGTGTTTTGAATTAAGACAAGAGAGCAATAACAACAAAGAACCTTCACGCAGAAAAGATAAGAGTCTCCACATAAGAAGTAAATAAAAACTCCACGTAGAGATGAAATCTCAGCTGTTGTTTTATACGAATAAAAATAAGTGAGAAAAAATGAGAAAATAAACACTAATAAACAAATTGAGACACAAATATACAGCTGAATAAGTGTCCCATCTGATTTAATTCCATGACATTCAAAATTAGTGGTGACACTAGAAATTTTGTTAAGTGTTGTGAATGAAATTTATATTTTATAAATTTCATTTTAGGGATGGATTGTTAACACAAAAAACTTGTTTAGAAATCCACTTGTAAAAACCAAATCAACATTGAAATGTTATCAAAATAAAGAAGAAGAAACATGAAAAATGAAAAATTTACATTTACCGTGCACAAGAGCATTATGTTAATCGTAATAAATAATGAAAAAAAATAGAACACAGGAGCTCCATAGACAGTTATGTCCAAACAAACCAACATTCTTTATGTGTTGTAAGCCTTTTTCTTAAAAAGCTAAAAAATCCAAAACATAAGGTTTATTTTAACAGTCTATGGAACAGGTTGATTGATATTTGAAATGAAGAACGACCAAGACTCCAAACTCTCCCTGTCGACAACAGTGAATGCAAGCGGTAATACTTTGCCATTGGCAGTGACAATCGTTGCTACAAGCAACACACCAGTGTATTTCCCGTATAAGAACGTACCATCTATGGTTATAACAGGCTTACAATAACTGAATCCATCGATGACGGGTTTGAAAAACCAGAAAACAAAGTGGAAGACGGGCATAATGGTTGTACCTCTGGTATATCTATGCTTCCACTGCACGATGGTGCCAAGATTAGATGTTTGTAATGCATGCACGAATTTAGGCAACATCCTATATTATTCATCCCAATCCCCGAATACCATTCTAATTGCCTTTGCCCTTGCATGCCACGCATTCTTGTATGATATACTATAGTTCATGGTCTTTTTCATATCTTCGATGACATTCTTAATGAGCATATCAGGTTCATTCTGCATACGACAATACCTATGAGTCAGATTATTTTGGTGTGAACACTATAAATAAACAAATATGTATATATATGTAAATATTTATTTTGTATGCTCACCGCAACTTGTCCTAAAAGATGAGAAGCAATGTAACTGGAGCTAATATTAGTGTGGTCCTTGTTCATTCGTGGGTGTAAACAATGGTGAGGACCCCTGTACTGCTTTATTTCAAAAAGATCATGCGTCCTACTAAGAGATGCGCGCAACCACCATCTGCAATCGTGCTTGCAAGCACACACCCAAACGTCTCGCTTGGAGGTTATGACTTTATACTCTTGATTATTTGTTGCATGGTACAATTTCATAGAATGTACAAGTTGCTTCTTATCAACGAAAACCATCCTTTGTCCAACTCTGGATTTTCAGCATTCCATATTCGGTTATGGGGAACGACATCGATGGAATGCGGAAAGAGAAGATGAACAAGTCAAAATCACCATCCACGTGAATGTTTTGGATTTTTTAGCTTTTTAAGAAAGGGAGTAAAGCAACATGAGAATTAACCGTGTCGGCATTTATGGAGTAAAGCAAAGCTAAGCTAAATTTAGCTAAATTTGTTACATTCAATGAATAAGCTAAATCCAAAACATAAGCTAAATTTACTTCAAGCAAAGCTAAAAATCACACATGGAGTAAAGCAAAGCTAAATTTATTTTAGGAGAAATACACATTCTCTTAACTTGTTCATCTTCTTAATCGTGAGAACCCAATAATGTAACCATTATTCATTGAATATAACAAATAATGTTCTCATTCTTACAAAAAACTACACTACCAATTGAATAAAACAAATAACCTTTACATTCATTCATTCATTGCACAACATCAGTCTTATGAAATAAGCGAAACCAATTGAATCACAATAACATCAACTCCGACCCAATATTTACATTACATAAGTTTCTGTTCGTAATCAGAATTCAAATTACATACAAGTTACATTACATAGCAAAAAACGAAAAAAGTACCATTCGTATGTAAAAAATACATCATCAAAATTTGAGATCTTTCTCTTATTCCTTCTTGCTGCAGCTCTCACGGTGGCCTTCGTCTTCTGAGCCTACTCCGCGGTGCTCTTCGCGTCTCACCTTTCGTTGTTGTTCGTCGAATTGCACAGTGTGTGGGTGTGCTTCGGACTGTAGAGCATGTATATCACCTTCTAACCCAAAACAAAGACAAAATGAAAAAAAAAAAAATTTAATGAAAACGGCTAGAAAACAGTTTTACTGAACCGGTTTTCTGAATTACATTATCACATTCTAACCCAAAATAAAGACAAAATAAAAAATATATATATTTAAATGAAAACGGCTTTAGTAAAGCCAAAATAAATTTCTGAATAACATCTTTTAACCCAAAATAAAGACAAAAGAAAAAAATTAAATTAAACATGAAAACGCCTTTAGTAAAGTCAAAAAAAAATTATGAATTACATTATCATCTTCTAACCCAAAACAAAGACAAAACAAAAAAGAAAAAAAATTTACATGAAAACGGCTTTAGTAAAGACAAAAAAAATTTATGAATTACACCTTCTAACCCAAAACAAAGACAAAAGAAAAAAAAAAATTTAATGAATTACATTATCACCAAAACAATGACAACGAAAAAAAAAAATTAATAAAAAAAATAAAAAAAAATTAATGAAATGTTACGATTATACTTCAATTGTCAGTAGATTTGGTCATGTAAGTATAAGGTTGCATTTGATTTAGTTTTAGAATAATGATTTGGGAATAAAATTATATTTTGAGTTTGTGAGTTGTTGAATCATGATTTGATAAGAGAAAATTTACTGAATCAAAAAAAGAAGAACTGAATCAAAAAAAAAGAGAAGAGAAAATTTGTTTGATTATGAGGTTTGAAAAGAGTTTTGAATTGAATTTTTAATTTTTAAAATGAATTTTGAAATAAGAAAAGTTGTTTAGTTATGAGTTTTGAAAGAGTTTTCAAAATTTAATTCAAAAACTTATAACTCATAACCAAACAAATAACTTAAAACGCTATTGAAAATTCCATTCAAAATTCATAACCAAACTCTTTTTAAAATTCAATTCAAAAAAATAATTATTGAAAAAAATAAATTTTTTATTTAAAAAATTTTAAAAATTCAGAAAATATTTTTTTATTTAAGATATTAAAAAATATATATTATTTTTTGTTAAAAAAAATATTCAGCTAGTGCTTTAAAATTACTTTTGATTGTATAATTGATTGGAATTTTTTTTTAATTGTTTTGTTTAAAAATATTTTTTTATTTTTTAAAAATTACTATGACAAATTAATTTTTATTTTAATTTTTTTGGTTAATTTTTAATAATTTGTCATTGTGGTTTACAAAAAAATAATTTCTATATTTTAAAAATATCAAAAACAAATATATATATTTTTTCAAATAACAGGTAACAATTGCAAAAAAAAAAAAAGAGCACTCTTTTGGTCAACTGGCCGAACGACCGGGTAGATCCAAAAATTCAAAAATTGTCTGGGAGGATATCTGGGCAGACAATTGAGTAGACCCAACTTCAAAATTCAAAAACTCACTCTGCCAAACATGTTTTGAAAAAAAAATTCAAACGTGTTTGTGGAATCAATTTTTAAAAACTATATCCAAATACAGCAAAATAGGAGAGTGGAATTATGATTCCACACCTAAATCAAACACAGCCTAAGTTTCTTATGCAGTCCTCCCTTACAAGTTGGTTTTCAAATGTGAATTCTATCCAAATGATTCGTATCACTTAATATTAGGATGGGGAAACAATATGGATACGGATCATAATTTGATTCTTGGTTTATTTTTCATTTTTGCTTGAAGTATTTGGGTGAATCAAAATGGGTACCCTTTTGCTCAGATTCAAAGACATGTCTGAGAAATTTCTTTGACAGAGGATATGTACACCTCCTTGAAGCTAAAGCTCCTCTGAAGGCCTTGTGCTTTGCTCGAGAGATTGAGAATTTAGGCTAATTCAATGCAAAGGAGGCTCGTGGCCAATGCCGATCCTCTGTTAGTTTGGATGGAAGATGTGCCTCCAATCTCTCCTTCGAATGTCTCCAAGCTGCCTGCTTAATCTTTGTTTCTTTTGTTTTTCTTTCCATTGGAAAAAATAAAATAAAATTGGCTGCCCTATTTTTAAAATTTACCAAGTCTTGCGAATCAAAAGGAGTAAATAGAAGTTGACAAGTTTTCAAGAAAAGCTCATAACCCATTAGCATTTATACATTCATGAATAATAATTACAGTTCACACATCCAAAACAGTGGTTAGCACTGTGTGTAATGGAACTAAACACCAATCTAAACAACCAAATCTCACTTCAATAATGATAAACATTAGAGGGCGGCTCAATGCCGTAATGATACACATTATAAGGCTGCTCGACTTCGTACTGATGGACAGTATTCGGCGGCTGATCTTCAAACTGATAGGCATACTGATGGACAGTATTCGACGGCTGATCTTCAAACTGATAGGCATAGTGAGGTGGCGATGGTGATGGCGTACTTGTTTCACTTGCTGAGGGAGTCGGGATGTGATTGTGGATTTCATTAACGGCGGTACTGGTGATGTGAGTCTGGTGCTTGTCAATTTTCACCTCGGTTAACTCAACTTCTTCAAACGAGTGGAAAATTGGATGCAAGTATGCATCAGACAAGTATGATTTTAGATTGAGGTCAGGTTCTGAAGTACGCTCTTGTAGATCCTTTGCCATGGCTTCCTGAAGAGGAGGAGAAGAAGTGTACTTCTATTAAAGTATAACCAATAAAAAACAAATGAAATTATGCTGATCCATAACTCACATGATTGCAAAGTTAGATATAATAAGAAAAAGAATTATGTGCATTATTTTTACCTTGTGCATCAAACAACCATAATAAAAAAACCATGTCCATCATGATTGATTTTGCAAGATTATCATATTTCTTTGCGAAATAAAATGAAAATAATGAATGAAAAAGCCCTAGAGAAAATATCTCACCAAAAAAAAAAAAAAAAAAGCAGCAAATTATTCAGGGCTAAAAAGGTGTGCACGTGTATAGTAGAGGTTAGTAATTTCAGATTATATCATGAGAAAGGATTAAAATTGCTTTTGTTTGTTAGTATGCAAATTTTTGGTTTGATGGGACAGACACTACCTTACACTCTTTTAACTGTTACCAATCTCGCTTCTGTAAGTACAAGTGACCTTTAAGAAACCTTCATCAATTTAAAGTCCGTAGACAACAATTCCACACAAAAAGAACAACACCCACAGAAGGCACAGCTGGTTTCCTGATGTGGATTGAATGTAGGTTGGTTTATGAGTCCAAAAAGTAACTATGATGAAGTAGGATTTATTATCTGTTGTGATAACCTGTGTGTGATGTTGCGACGAGTCTAGACACAACTACAATCATAATTTATTTCAGCAACCGACATAGATGAACAGTCTAGCACAAGTATTTATTAGAAAAAGCTACTTAAATTCTTTCTATAGTAATTGATATTCAGATTGATGGAGCTTACCTCAAGGGGGTACTTTCTGAATGCAGGCTCAAAGCGTTTTTTGCAGTAGTTGTGGAATGCTAAAGTCAATACAGGCAAAGCAACAAGCAAAGGAGTGGAACTTGCAGCCTTTTTTGTGCTGAGCAGACCCAACAAAAGAAGCTGAGATATCAACAAGCTTGATATTATGCGGCTGTGAACTTGCGGCCAAAATGCAGCAGCACTCTCATATCGTTGATTGTACACATTAATTACCTGTGTGACCAAGAATAGTAGAAAATATTAAGATGGAATACTGGGGTCAACTCAACATAGAAAAATCTAGCTCCAGATTATCAATTATTTTTCTCAATGAGACAACATTATCTTTGATCATTTGAACCTAGAAAAATAAACATCCATAATCAATTATTTTGGTCAATCTGACAAAGTTCTCTTTATTAATTGTGAATTGCAGACATGGTTTTATCAGGCAGGGACTTGATAATCATACGTCTCTTGAATTGTGACTGAAAATAATTTATTAGCAGTGAAAATTACTTCATATTGCTTGAGCATAACAATATTATGTGCATATAAAACCACAGCTAGAGACAGACAAATAGAGAGTTCCATAACCAGAAATGAGGTAAGAAATTCCTACGGGTTATAATATGCAAGGCATTAAATAATTCCCCAAATCAAAGAGTAGCAATACATTTTTGCTAATGACTAATGAAGGCAGTTTATAGTCTTAGTTATTTTGTCAAAAATAGAGTTCCATAACCTGAAGTACTATGCTATATACTCACTGTTTCACATTGAACTTACTAAACTAAACAGTACTAAAACTACCTTACAAAAGAAAACCAAAACCCAAATTCAGGAAGAAACTAACCTGATGACGATAAACAAGGTATGCAAGGGCGAAGAAGACTAGAATAAAAGGAAGAAGGATGGGAGTAACCACAGCATATACAATTCCTAGAAGGAAGTAAAGTTGAAGGCTTGGAAGAGTCTCTGGAAAATCCACACTCCCAGGGTTCATTGCCCTCTCTCTGTCCCTCGCAGTTTTCACCAAGAACGTGTTCTTAAGGTGAAAAATGACCAAAGGCTTCAACCTGAGAATCTCGCTTGCAATTCCAGCCCACCCATCAACCATTATATATGTAATAAAGAAAGTAGCCTTCATTGGTATTGATACCCCAATGGTTCTAGGAATCCTACAATAAAAAACAAGTTATAATTAACATTAGTCATGTAATATCCAAAAAATACAGAAAAGCAAGAGAGATCAACTAAGATTAAAAGGTAAACTACATATTTTTTTTCTCTGCAAGTTGCTCTTTGCGGGACAAATTTTTGGTATCTAAAGTTTTTCTAGTCATACTACTCACCAGGTGAATAGCAATTGAAATGAATAGTTTGATTTGAACATATTAAAAGAAGCATGCTGTTAGTATCGCTCAATCATTTGCACAAATATTCAATATACTTTTTGATCTATGGCACTTTTTTTAATCTTTTAAGCACTAGGATGAGTATCAGAGAGTGCTTGTCTTATAGCAAGTTGTATCTAGACCAAGACAAAGACCACCACTTGAAAACCTAAATCCATTAAAACATTGCACCAAAGAACATAGACCAGAATGTGGGGCAAAATCCATGGATTTAACAGCAAAGCAAAGAAAAACATTAAAAAAAAAAAAATTTAAGAGAAACAAAGAAAGAAAGAAAATCAATATGATTCAGCATAGGGATATGGAATATTACTGGGTGGGCGCTTGGTGAAGGAAAGCATGAAGCTGCTGGAAAGCTGTTCCCGTTACTATGCTCCCCAAGAAAACATTCACCAACATAAAGTAATAATATTTTGCTGATGCACTTCGTTCTAGTACTGACAATGCCACATGTCCCTCAATTTTTGACATAATCATCAAAACTGTTGGAAGAATGTATAAGAAAACTTTGAGAGCTAGACCAGGAAGAAATCCCTGTAGGAATGACTTGACGAATTTCCTGCACCAAATTGCCAAAAGATTTTTTGTTATAAAAATGACCACATGCTTAGAAAGAAATAAATAAAAGAGAGACACAATGCATTTGAGAAACAAACAAATCAGCAATCATATTAATCAAGATTCATAAAATAGCACACTGCAAGTTGAAATTTCACTTACACTTCAACAACAGGCCTTAGGAAAGGAGCAACCCTTTCAAGACCCTCCAAATTTGCAAGTGACTGCACGAAAGCAATGGGTATCATGTAAAAGAACACCAAAGCAAAGACCGTCAACGATATCAAAAGCCTCCTAACGCTGAGAGAAACAAATGGTATCGCCAGATTCTTCCAGTATACATCACGGGGTTCCGGGGCCCAGTTTGTTAACCACAGGGTGGGATTCTTGCTTTGCTGAGTTTGTGCACACACAGCTGCCCCCCATCGTGAATTAAATGAAACAAATGCAGCTGATATAATAGCTTTTGGGTCCTTCAGAATTCTCTGGCGCTCCATCGTTAACTAACAATGGTATAAAGAATTTGTCAAAGTAACTCAATAAGGGAAAACAAATATTATATTTGAGTATAAATGAGTTGCACACTTATTTAAGAAAACAAACCAAACCAAGTCTTAAATCCCATCAAATGGGGTCGGCTACATGAATCATTTTTCTCCATGCAGCCCTATCAAAGGCCATTTCATTAGTCAAATTAAGTAGATTCATATCTCTATTTACAACGCTAGCCAACGCTAATCTAGGCCTATCCTATCCCCTAATACTTCCATCTACCGTCACAGCATCGCATTTCTTCACTACTGCCTCTGTTGGTCTCCGTTGAATATGACCAAACCATCTCAATCGATTCTCTCTCAACTTATCTTCTATCGGTGGTACTTCTACCCATTCCCGAATACACTCATTCCTAATTCTATCTTGTCTAGTCTTACCACACATCCACCTTAGCATCCTCATCTTAGCCACACTCATCTTATCTACATGTTGATCCTTGGCTACCCAACACTCCGTCCCATATAACATTGCTGGTCTAATAGCCATCCCATGTTTATCGCACAATACCCCAGACGCACTTCTCCACTTACACCATCCCGCCTTAATCCTATGGGCCATATCTGCATTAATCTCCCCCGCTGTTGTGATAATCGACCCTGAATAACGAAAATGTTTACTCTTAGGTAGTTCTTGGTTCTTAATCTTTACTTCTTGGTTCACTCTTAGGCAGTCTCAAGCCCGGGTTAAGGAGGAGGGTTGTGTGTTAGGTAGCCAACAACCAACACGTAAAAAAAGCCGCTCAGATCCCTTATGACAAAACAAACCAATGAAAATACAATGAATAAATTACAAGAGATGAATAGATTTTAGATGAAATAGCAGGCACAACTTACTCTTCTATCAAGATCCTTGATCTGTTGTTTATAAAATTCAATAGAATCAACTCTTTCACCACAAAGCCCAAGGAATCCTAACTGAAGATGAAATATTACAAAATGTTAAAACCAAAATTCCAGACACATAAATGAAATGTTAAATAGCATCTGAACTGGCTTATGAAACTGTGACCATGCGTTTCTTTTTCAACATATCTTGTCTGTATAACATGATTTTGGGTGAATAACATGAGCTACCTTTTTCGTTGGCCTTTTGTCTGGATGTCTTTCAAGCTTAAGCTGGTTGTAGTCCAGCCAATTTTGGATCCTCTCTCTTTTTCTCACAAGTTTGGCAAATTTGTTTGCATTGTAGACAGCCTGAATAAAATGAAAAAGATATAACATGGCAACAAATTGACCAAAAATGATGGACAAGCCCACAGAAGAAACTTCAATAGATGAACCATATTACCTGGTGACAAAGATAGTGATCGGGGTGATTTGTTTTGAAGAAGTTGTCCACACTGTCAGAAATTGAGCGACCAGAAACATGCGGCACATTCCTGACCAATACCTGCAGATTATGCATAAGTAAGAACATAGTCAACTCAACTCAACTCAACAAGCCTTTGTCTCAATTACTTGGAATGGCTACGTAGATCCATTTTCTCCTACCAGAGTATTAGCAGTTTTATCCTCAGCTAAGTTTAAGATGGTCACGTCTTTCTTATCACCTCAGCCCAAGTTCTCCAAGGCCTTCCTCTATTTTGCTCGTCTGTGTCATGCTTAATATTTTATCTTTTACACAGTTGGTCCCAAGCCCGAATAAAGGAAGGGTGTGGTAGGTAGACAACCAATATAAAACATAGTCACACATTTATGCATGTGGAAGAATATAAAACACAAAATTCTAAAAATTGGTCTTGGGGATCTCAAATGGCACAAGCATAAAAGTATGAAATGAAATATATGGAACTACAGCACCTAAATCAGTATTAATCAGAACCTGAATCAGTGTAGCTGAAAATGACAATACAAGATACAGTAACATATAGGCAAGTAGACAGGTCAAATCATTGATTACCTACTGTAAAGCATCTTCCCCTTTATAAATTTTTGTGGGATACATTGTATGAAACCTAGCTGATGTGTTAAGGCATGGAGAGTACATTAGCAGGAGCAAAACTCAAGAGGAATTGATTGAGGCTCACAAAAGTGGTGGAGCAAAACCTAGTTGATCAGATATTACTGGTAGTAGGATCTATAACATCACACTAGTTATAATATAATACAACTCTAATGGCACGTAGTTTGTGCCCAATCCACAGAAATTCTTCATACAGCTTCTCTTTGTCCAATTATGAATTATTACATACTAACTTTTCGTATCATTTAGAAAAGAAAAAATAACAATAAGTATAAGAGACGAGAATTAGCATTGCAAGCTTTTGACAGAGCATATAGGAAAGAAACTCGACGACAATAAAACATCATTACCATTGAGACAACATCATTTAATGAAAAACAATCACATTATTCTTTTCTAAATAAACGACATGCAAGAAATTTTCTTTACAATCATTCTAAAGCAATTGAAGCTCAACTCACTGTGAACTGCTCTGCACGCCTGTGTTGAGAAGCCAAAAAGTTCAACCTCATTGATGATACTCTACCGTATTCCTTGTAGAGCAAAAAACATGTCCAGAATGTGAACAAATATTCCATTGATAGGTGAGCAAAAAACCTGAAATTTAATCATAAAAGTTTCAAAAGGTAGGATTGCAGATCTATAGAAAGATATATAAGGAAGAAAGAAAAAGAAAAATGTGAACCAACATTATTGCAAGTTTTACAGTTTATCAACAAATATCTTACAGTTGACAGTCTTAAAAGCCTATGTAATAATGCACCCTCAAATTTTGGTTTCTAAGCATAAAGACTTAATCAAGGAAGATGAAACCAGTACACAGCAACAACAGACTCAAAAACTAAAAAAATAAAATCATAAGGTGTTGTATGGTAATACTAAAAACTGAATCTGAAAAATAGCTTGACATGTACTAAAATTTAAGTGCTAAATTTAATTAAATTAGTTGATATGTTTAAGAAAGTAAAGTTTGAAATTTATTTTTTTTTTCTAAGTTTTCTCTTCTACTCTTATATTGTGGCGGTGAGTTGGCAATGATGTGTGGTGGTGTAGTGGTGATAATGTTGTGGTAGGATAATAGAGGTGGAGAAGTTGGTGGGGGTGGGCTGGGCTGGGCTGGTGATGGTCGTGGGGTGGCTATGACGATGACAGTGGATGTTGGTGGTGGAATGGAGGTAAGGCGAAGATGTGGATGATGGTGGCTATAGTGGTGTTAATGGACATGGTGGTGGCAACAACGGTAGTGGTGGTGGTGGTGATTGTGGTTGTTGGTAGTGGTGGCTATAGTAGTGGTTGAGTGGCGGTGATATTGATGGTAGAGATGGAGGGATGTTGGTGACAGTGACAGCAGTGATCGTGGTGGTGGCTGAGTGACTGTGGTATTGGTGAGGAAAATGGTGGCAGCATACCACAACTGTGATATAAGCATAACTAGTTGAAAATTCAACATTCAACATTCAATATTAAGCAAGAAATTTGTTAATTATATTTTTATCTTATTTTTAAGAGAGAATTTTTTTGAAGTGATGTGAATTGTGGTTATCAAAAACTTAACAAATTTCATTGAATATCAGTTTTAACTTTTAAGTACTTAATTGAATTATCAAAATGTCCATAAGCTCACATCTTGACCAGAATGAGGTCAAACAAAAGCAAATTTAAAGCAAGTTTGACACAATTTCTTGAGAAAGTAAGGGCTTTTTCTAGAAATGGACTTTTTTTTGGAAATTCTTCATACAAAACTAACCGAGAATAACCAATTGTTGGGCCCATTCTATGGCAGCTTAAGCTTTTCTAGCAATTGATAATCCAACATGGTATCAAAGTTGTGAGTGGAAGTCCAATAATATCTGTTTGTTACCTCATAATGTTTTGTGTCTGTTTGTGTGTCATAATCAGTATCCTTTGGGGCAACTACTAACCTATTGACCAAGTTAAGCAAAAATGAATGAATTAAATTAAAAATCATAAACATTTAAAAGAACTAAAAAGTAGTCCAAAATTTACATTCCCAATAAGACATTGTCAAAGAAAACAAAAACAAATAATAATGCACAAAGTTTAAAAAGTATATGAAAACTAAATTAAGTCAACCACATATATAGCAGCATATCATCAGTACTCTTTTTCTTCATGGTACAGATGTAGTCAATATCACAATATAACTATATGACAAACGAATATGTCATTCTATGTGAGAGAAACAAACTTACCTAATAGATTTAGGATGAACATTTGATATTGAAAGCTTATCAATGTCGCTAACAACCAATTCCTTGCTAAGGAAAAACAATGTTCCACCAGATACATTGATTGGAATTAGAACCAAAAGCGCCACAATAGTAATGGGTCCAAAAATCTTTAAGCTGTCAAATAAAAAAAGGAGAAATATTTAGAAGTACAAAAACAACTTTTCATAGAGCTTTAAAGTCAACCCAAGATATTGGGCGTTCTTTGACAATTGACATTATGAAGTAAAGTGATTCCAGATAAAAGGTTTACATGAATGTTGGACTTGGGTAAACAACTTACCCCCTACCCTAACATTAAAGAGCAAGCATGCAAACATCATGCACCCACACATATGCAGGCACCCATGCTCGCGCACACACACACAAAGTCTAAATGAAAACATACCAAGGGAGCCTTCTTTTGAATATTCCTCATTCAGCAAAGGACAAGGGTAAACATTATTGAGCACTACTAAATAATCAATTAGGTATCTTTTCAACAATGAAATGATGAGCAAGTTCAAACTCATTCAAAAAATAGACAAGATGGAGGAAGAACGTCACATATTTAGGGGAAAACATCTCCTCCGACATGTCGATTGGACTTAAATTCAGGAATTACTAGAACATTTGTAAGACTTGCAATACTTGTGCATAATTCCTGAATTCCATAACAAATAGGGGTTGTCAATTATAAAATACACACCTCCTGGGCAAGGGTAAGTGATCTAAGCATGCCAAAAAAAGTACTCAGTTCAAGAATAATTCAATAATTGAGAAAGAATAGAAATCAACTGGAATGTTGGAAGAATTCAAATATCATCACTACAAAAATAAAAAACATGAGCAAGGGAAGAGAACATCAACCATGTGAGAAAGTGACAGAATTCAGTATTGAAAGAGAGAAAGAAAAAAAACAGTGCTGGAGACACTAACACGAAGTAATTGCAAAACAAATGTTTTGTTGTTCTAAATCAAGAATTACCAACAGAACCAATCAACAGGCAAATATGCCTAATTTTTCTAAGACATAACAAAGTACAAAATCACAAAAACAAGAAGGAATTGCTACATTTTATTAGGTCCTAAGCATGAAAACCTTATCTATTAACAAGCAAGAACAAAAAAACTAGTAACAGAAAAGTAGAAAGGAAAACTGCATACCCTGTTGTCAGGAAACAGCAGAGGAAATTAAAAAGTCAGTTTTTGAAACCTAGCTTCAAGATCTAAATAAATGTACTTTTGGGGAAGAAAAGAAGGAAAAGCTAAAGCAAGCAACAACCTGCATTTGCACAACTAAAATGTTGAGCTGAAAAGGGAACAACTATAAAATTTACTATCAAATATAGAATGGACTAGACAAGAAAGAGGATTAGGGGAGAGAGAGACTCCGAGTTCAGACCAATAAAAAACTACCATAAAAAAAAGAGTAAAATTCGTTAAAAAAAATATAAATAAATAAAAACAAAGAGGAAAATGACTACCCCCATAAAGTAATTCTGAAGGAGAGTGAGTTCAAAAATTTTATCAACTACCAAACAACGGCCACAACAGGGGGAAAAAATTGACTACCCAGAAAGCAAACTTTCCAGAATATTTCCACAAACAAACAGCACCACCCAGAAATATAATTCTTCGGAAAATTAACTACAAATCCAAATTCTGCATTTTCTCACGAAACAAACGACACCCAGAACCACAAAATCAACAGAAAGCAAATAAAAAAGGAAACTTTGAGTACCCAAGAGTGTAGATTCTGAGAAAAACAGCAGAATCAAGACCAGCATGGTTGATGATTTCGGACTCACTCATCCTCAGAGCTTGAGGCATCCAGTTGAGGAAGGTAATGTAAGTCCAGCAATTGAGATTAACAAACTTTCCCACAAAGTTCCGGTGCTTGGGACTGGTTCTGCCCCCACTAATGTACAACTTGGGAAAGTAAACTCTGTCATTGATGGGTTGAATCCGAAGAAGAGCAAAGGCCAACAAGAAGGCAAAAGTACCGAGTATGTTGATGAATGCAGAGACCCCAATATCCTCAAGAGTCGCCATAGACAAACAAAGCAGAGAAGAGAGAAAGAGAGAGAAAAATGGGGAGAGAGAGAGAGAATCAAAGGTGGGATATGAAAGGATGACAGAGATAGAAAAGAAAGAAAGGAAAGAATATTGTTAGCTTTCTTTTCTTTTCTGTTTCTAATAGGAAAGTGGGGAAGCAATGGGTTTTGATCTGTTACAAGTATGGGTTGTTGTTTTGGGTTTTTTGTTTTTGTTTATTGAAAGGATGAGATTGTGGTGTGTTCCAGTTTTGTCACTGTGTGTTGTGCTCATGTGTTTGTGTTTTGGGGTTTTGGGTAATGCGTATTGTGCAGTGTTGAGTGTGCTTTTCTGTTGTTGCATATGGGTTTTTTAACCTTTTCGTCGCGGCGGCAATGAAAGTAGTGTCGTGTGCAATCATATGACAAACACCTGTATTTCCGCCGGGACTGCTGTTGTTCTCCGTTTTGTGTTGGGTTTTGAAAATTAATTTTGAAAGATAAATTTTAAAAAAAAATTGTAAAATTTAAAAACTTTTTTAATTATAATTTAGAATGATTTGTAATTGAATAGATAATATAAGAGAAAATTGATTGATTTATATGTAAAATGTAAGAGAAGAAAGGAGAAAGGAAAGAGAAAAAAAAAATGATCAATTGATATGTAAAAAATAAAAAAAAGATAGAGGAAGGAGAGAGAAAATAATTTTTAAAATAATTTTCAAAATTGTAAACTAAAAATGTTTTTAAATTTTTCAAAAAAACTAAATTAAATGAAATTCATTTCTTTCAGTATTTTTTTAATTTTTAAACAAAAAAACATAAAAAGCAGTAAAATAAAATTTAGGGTAAATTATCAATAGGTCCTAATAATTGAATTTAATTCCTATAAAGTCCTATTGAAAATAAGGATTTCTAAAATAATCGTTAAAAATAATTTTTTGTGACATTTTTTACGTATGTCGTTAAAAATTGACAATTAGAGACTTTTTGTCACGATTTTTATAAATTGTCGCTAAAATTTACAATTAGTGACGTTTTTCTGTAATGAATTTTTCAAACTGTCTCTGAAAGTTAAAAATTAATGACGTTCTTTTGTGATTATTTTTTAAGACTATCATTAAAACTTATAATTAGTGACATTTTTTGTGACAAAATTTTAAACTGTTGCTGAAAATTAATAATTAGTGACGTTTTTTAATAATGTTTGATAAAAAATATCATTAATTATCATATGACATATTGAATAATTAGTTCACCTATTAAGATATACAAGTAAGTCATATGTAAAAAATAAAAAAAAGATAGAGGAAGGAGAGAGAAAATAATTTTTAAAATAATTTTCAAAATTGTAAACTACAAATGTTTTTAAATTTTTCAAAAAAACTAAATTAAATGAAATTCATTTCTTTCAGTATTTTTTTAATTTTTTAACAAAAAAACATAAAAAGCAGTAAAATAAAATTTAGGGTAAATTATCAATAGGTCCTAATAATTTATTTTAATTCCTATAAAGTCCTATTGAAAATAAGGATTTCTAAAATAATCGTTAAAAATAATTTTTTGTGACATTTTTTACATATGTCGTTAAAAATTGACAATTAGAGACTTTTTGTCACGATTTTTATAAATTGTCGCTAAAATTTACAATTAGTGACGTTTTTCTGTAACGAATTTTTCAAACTGTCTCTGAAAGTTAAAAATTAATGACGTTCTTTTGTGATTATTTTTTAAGACTATCATTAAAACTTATAATTAGTGACATTTTTTGTGACAAAATTTTAAACTATTGCTGAAAATTAATAATTGTGACGTTTTTTAATAATGTTTGATAAAAAATATCATTAATTATCATATGACCTATTGAATAATAAGTTCACCTATCAAGATATACAAGTAAGTCTCCTTAAAATTTAACAAATTTTAATGATTTTTAATTAAAATCCCAGCATGAATCTCACCGCTCTGCTAATTACCGTACTACTTTGTTTAGGGAGTAAGGGGTTGTTTAGCATGTCCTAAATAAGTGCATTTTTTATTTTTTTGGACTAAAAAATTGAGAAAAAAATATGAATGTTTGGGTTAACTTTTTGACTTTTTATGAAAAAATGTGTATTAAAAAATTGTATAAATTAGTGTGTAAGGAAAAATTAGAATTGAGAGTTGTGCAGCCGTAATTTTTGACTTTTGGTAAATAGTGATAACTTTTTAACTTTTTGAGTAACTTTTTGACTTTTTGACAACTTGCCAAACTTGACCTAAATATTAAGGGCGGTTGAGTCCGTAAGGACCATGTGTCTTATTTTTAATAATTAAAAATATTTATGTGAAGTTTGTCAAATATTTTATTTTTGTAAAAAATTATATTATTTGATATAGATATTTGATCGGATCAAATTTATATCAATAATAAATATAATTTTTAAAATAAATTATTTATAAAAATTTAATCCGATGAAGTAGCTATCGATATTCGATCAATGTGATTTTTTACAGGAATAAAATACTTAACGAGCTCTACACATTGAACAATTCAAAATAAAACTCAAGATGGATCCCATGGACCTAACATCACTGTCCAATGTGGATTAGAGACAAGCAGGCCCAAATATTAACATTTAGACCCTTAATTTTTTTGACGATTTGATTGAAAATAATTTGTATTTAACTATTGTTTTAACCTTACTTTCTAACCAACTGAAAGACTAATAAATCTATTAGACATGAAATCTAATTTGATGCTTCAATTCCATGAAACAAAACCTTGTTAAGATTTAAGAAAAATATAATTAGTCTTATTCTTTTGACATAATTACACTAATTTCTCTTTTAATAAAATTAAGTAATTAAAACTAGCGCAGATAGTGTGAAAATACTAAAATAAATATATTTTTTTAGTAAAACAAAGATAATAATTTTTTTTTTATCGATATGACTGGCAAATATTATTAATAAAAAAATGACTTCACTATTATGTGAATTAAAATTTTAAAAAATACTAATATAATTATACCAAAATTTTGGTGGTTAATTGTATTTTTTGAAACCTTAGGAAATGTGAAAGAAATTTACCAATGTTCAAGTCCCTAAAAATCAAGAAAAAAAATTAGTGAAATATCCTTTTCCAACTTTGTATAGTATGAGAGGTCCAAGATGTTTTTTTTATTAGTTAAGGTCCCTCAATATTTTCACAAAGAAAATTCGACGTAAAAGAATTTTGCCCGAGTTAGAGAAATTTTTGCTCCAACTCAGAGAAATTTTGAAATCTATCTGGTATGATCATAGAGAAATTTCGGCCCCGATTAAGAGAAATTTCGAAATTTCTTCTCTGTGAAAATTGAAATTTCTCTCAGTCATATGAAATTTCTTTAAGTCGGGTAAAATTTTTCTGAGTCAAATTTTCTTTATAGAAATGTTGAGAGACCTTAATTACTATGAAAATATTGTATGTCATTTATCTTATAAAATCTTAATATTAAGGATTTTAACTCTTAAATTGATTGCGAATGATGCGAATTGTTAATTAGTTCATGAATCAATTAATTCAATCATCCATGACAGATTAATGTAATATAAACTTAAAATGATATTTTAAGAATCTCAATATTAAATGGTTGTAATTTAAAATCTCTATACTAATTTTATTTATATATACATTTAATAGACAATAACATTGTGATAATCTCATTTTTTACATAATTTGTTCATTATTATATTAGTAATAATAAATATGAATAGTGTACCTTCTTAAATCAATCTGTGTAACACATGAAATGATACAAACAACAAGGTGTGAATGCAATACAATGGGTTTTGATCTTTCTATATGATGACAAGAAAAAAATTAGGTGTACTCCACATAGAAATTTTACTGTATTTTATTGAAATATTATTTTTTAATTTCATTTGTGTTTTGTTTATTTGCCAGTGCATGTGAAGTAACAGGAATTTCCGATCAGAGAGAAGAAGCGTGCATGAGCCATGTTATTATATATTTATTAAGATTTTTTTATTTTTTATTTATTTTTTTATGAACAGTACCCCCTCTCTCATTGGTTACATTTTTTTTTTCTTTTTCTTTTTTTTTCCTGCTCCTCCAATCACCACCCGCCACGTGGCAAAGGGGGGTCCCAAGCATTATTCATATAAAGACCAAAAAAGACAAAAAATATTAAACTTTTTGGACTTTTTTTGGCTTTTTCAAATTTTTTTTTTGTTGAAAATTTTCAATGTTGTTTTACTTTTTGAAGGACCAAAAAAATATTAAAAAATTGACGTAATTCACAAACAAACAAAAAGAAAATTAAAAATGGCTGACCTATTTTGAGAAGTAGGTTAAAAGTTAAATTTTTTAATTATTTTAAAAAAATATAAAAAATAATAAAATTCAAAAAAAAATTTAAATTTTAAAAAAATATAAAAAATAATAAAATTCAAAAAAAATTTCAAACTAAAAAATTAACTTTTAACGAAATTGTCAAAATATGCCTCGGCCAATAGTAAGCTAGCATTCCAAACACCTAATTGCGCCATGATTTGGGTGCCAATTCCTAACCGATCTACCCTTCCTTTTCAACACTTTATGTACTAAGGATTGGAGATAAGTGTGCCACTTTGACTTTGTTTTCATAAAGTTGTCCCACTTAAGTGGGTAAAAAGATTTAATTCTACAAATTCTAGCTATGATTTATAAGTTTGAATTATTAGGATTGATACAATTATGATCTATTTAGAGTTTTTAATAAAATTTAATTAAATCAATGCAAATAACACACACTTGTGCATAAGATTTGTGGTGATTCAATGTAGGTAATTTTGATTTTGATTTTTCTTTTTCTTTTTATTTTAAAAACTTTTAGCAATATTATACAAGTCAATCAATTTTACTTTTACATGCAAAAAAAAAATAATAATAATAATTAAAAAATATTCACAAATGTGTGTCCCATAATATATGGGATTTCATAATAGAACAGACCTATTGTGAGTAATTTATAATTAATTTATGTATAAGTATTTTTTTCATCAATTTATTAGGTCAAATCTGATACTTCGAAGCATTATTTCTCTCGCTTTTGGGCTTCCGTTTCTCCTTCAAGGTTAATAATTTTGATTCCGAATCAAATGTCTATTTGATTGGTGGGCCTATGTATTATTTTCATTTTGTGATTTTGAAAACATGTTTGTTCTTACCAACAAAGATGGGAGAGCTCAAATGTGTCAACCATATATTTGAAAATAATACAAGTTTTTCTGTCTTCATGTTTTGAGCAATTTATCGCACTACAGTAAAAAATGTAATAGAAAGGGGTTTATTAATCTTTGTTATTGTACCACTTTTTGTTTAT